CCCCCCCCCCCCCACACACACACACACACACACACACACACACACACACACACACACACACACACACACACATTGCTGGTGACAATCCCCTTAGGTCCACCTACAAGCGGGTCGATCTGTCAGAGGTGGCACTAGTCTTACGGTCTCGGCGGTCACCAAATTCACAGGTTGGTGACGACTACAATAAAGGTGGCAAGGGTTGGACCTCCGGGGAACAGGAAGTACCGCCAAGTCCACGGACAGGACCGGTCTCACCCGCAGCCCTGGGACGAGAGTCTAGCGGGGCTGGGATGACCGTGATGGTTGCAGACGCAGTTAGGATTACAGGCTGCATGTTCTTGCAGGAAAAGAACACAGAAAGGGTAACCGAAGCTCCCCGCTGCGTGCTAGCCTAGGAGACCGCTAGCGTCTCACCTGCAGGAGCTGCACCGGTACCGCCTCCAGGAGCAGTGGAGCAAGGCATGTGTAGAGAGTCGCCCGGCCAAGGGGGCGTGGGCAAGCTCGCAGGGCACGCCGGGAAACTTGGTCCTCCGACACCATCTTTCTTCGCTACTAGCGGCGGTGACCGCGGCAAAGGGCACACGCTAGAGCCATGAAGTTCCTCAGCAAGGCCGGGTCCTTCTCGGTGAGCACGTATGCGCGCGTGGGGCAGGGCGGGGGAGGCGTTTCGGCCACTCGGGGCCGGGTGTGCGGCCCTGGCCTCGGGCCTGGGTCTGCCCTTCAGGTGAACCCCGCGGAGAAGCGGACTGCCGGAGGGCTGAGGCCAAGGGGAGGCTCAGCCGGTCCTGTGAGCAGAGGACAGCCAACGCCGGGAAAGCAGGAGAGAAGGGTGGCCTTGCGAGTGGCGCTGAAGCGACTCTCGGGATACTCCTGAAGGTCACTCGAGTAGCAGGGTAGGGCGGAAGCAGGTGACACCCAGGCCGCTTGCTTTCCCAGCCGCGGCCTCTGCTCCTAAGTTTGTCCTGGAGCATCAGTTTTCCCAGTGCTTTCGAGTGGAATAAATACACCGATGCGATGCGATGCGATGCGATGCGACACTTATCACAGTGCCCCGTACCCCCGCACCCTCGTTCCTGTCAGTGCTGAGTCCCGGCCTTCCTAACATGCTATTTTTCTCAGTCTCTTATTTAAAAACTTTCCTCCAAATGAAAAGGGGCTCTTGATCCTTTCCTCAGTGCTCCTTCCTAACACTAAATTATGTAGTCACTTGAAGAGTAGGTAGTACATCGTGTGCCCGCGCGTTATCACTGAGATACACGGTTATCAAGAGATGAAAATGGGAGCATCTAAATTTCAGCAAGGGTCAATTTGCCCCTACTAGCCGGTTACATGAGGAGCTTTTTGTTCCTAACATCCCTTTGAGAGCGTTCCCCTGGCATCTAGAGGTCAGAGGTGTTGCTAAACATCTAGCTGTACTGTAGCAGCAGCCCGTACAGCATAGAATTACCAACGCCAAAATGTCAGTAGTATCTGTGTTGAGAGACCGAGACAATAATGCAAAAGTGTATTGCAGAATTGTACAAATTTAGGCCATAGTTGTATTCCTTGTGCCTAGACCAACCAATTACTAACCGTCCTTTGAGGGTAGTACTGCCTTTCCTAATTTCCATGGGGATAAATTGACGTGTGTGTTATTAAAACAAAATAGAAATTATATGACAATTTAGAAGGTAAGTCTTTCCTGAAAGGAACAAAAAAAGTGCAGAAGTTTTAAAATGTCACTACCCAGAAGCACCTAAATCTTGCTTGGTAATGGAACTGTGGAATTCATATGTGGACTACTTGGATATTGTGGAATTATATCTTGGGAAATCACAGCCATAAATCCCACGTAGCTACATACACCTTAACCAGCAAACTAAATTGGTAATGACAAAGAGCTCCTTTTGATTCATAATTAAAAAGCAGGACTGAAGGGATGGTAGTAATACTAAGAGCAAATGAGGAGCAGCAGCCAGATTAGCCCAGCACTAGGGCAATACAGAGTAGGAACATTGTAGACCTTTACAGGGACCTTTGCCAAACAATAGCAACATGTTTATTGACCTTAGCAGAATGAAAATGTATTTGCTTGCATGCCCATTAGTAACTCTGTGAACCCTAGACGTTATTAGAATGTCAGAACAGCTTTATGCTCTTATACATAACTTGTAAATATATAAGCATATGTGAATAAAGTCAATGAACTTTAGATCCATCATCCAAGTTATTACATGTTATACTGAAAATCTGTTGTTGACTACAGGACCTCCTGTAGTAGTTCAGTACTTATCCCTAGCATAGGTGTGGACTTTGGGAGCCCATTCCACATAGAGGAATACTCGCTGAGCCAAGACAAGGGGGTAGGCCTAGGCCCTATCCCAAAGGATGCAATAGAATCTGATGACACCCTATGGAAGGCCTTACTATCCAGGGGGAGCAGAAAGGATATGTGAGAGGTAGGGTTTGAGTTGTGGGGGGGGAGGGGAGAGGGAACTGGGATTGTCATGTAAAATAATCTTGTTTCTAATTCAAATAAAAAATTCTGCAGAAAAAAAAAGAATCTATTGTTGTTTTAATCTCTTGTTGATCGTAAGATGATGCAGATACTTGGCTAAAGAAGCTAAGACCCTTCCTTAGTTGAATGTGCTTAGTATAGCATGTAAAAGGATGAAAATGCAGTGGATATGTTAAGGACTTTGAGAAAAGATCCTCAAAATGATCAAGGAGATAGAGGCTATTTTAGCTGGAAAATAAAGAGACTGACAAATCGAGGAAGCAATAATGCTGACATGTACTTTTAAAAGTGTTGATGTAGTGATCCAGTTGTTCAATAACTTTGAAAACATTAGAACTAGAAGGAAACATTTGAAACTTCAATGAAATAATAAATAAAAGATCATAGAGAACTCAGTATTCCCTATAAATCACAAATAGAAGTTAAAGAATGACTTAGACCAGCCATAGTAGAAACCTGTAGTCCCAGAGGCATCATGAGTTTGAGGTCATCCCAGGCTACATTGCAAAAGTTTTTCAAAAAAGAAGGGGGGGGGTGTGGAGGAGTGGATATGACTTGGATAGACTAAATGGCTAATAAACTTATTAGTGAGTTACTTGTCTGAACTTCCCATGAAGGTGGTGATTTGCATGCGGTCACTGTGTTGAGTTGCATTGGTGATGGAGTGCTTTTACATGTAAAGGACTGTTCTTGGGATAGTATATGTAACCTGTCTTTGTTGTTTTTAGAGATTTTACTCCCTCAAAGTTGCCCCGAAGGTTAAAACTCCAGTTCCCCCTGCAGGAGTACCTCTGCAGCCTGAGGATCTTGAGGTTAGTCACACAGAGCTGCTCACTGGAGAGCACATCTGTTTTATTTAAACTCTTCGCTAAAAGACAGGGGGTGGTCACATTTCTGTTCTGTCTTAACTACAGTTTACCAAATTACCAAATGGTTTGGTGATTGCTTCTCTGGAAAACTATGCTCCCTTATCAAGAATTGGCTTATTCGTTAAAGCAGGCAGCAGATATGAGGACTCCAACAACTTAGGAACCTCTCATTTACTACGTCTTGCATCTAGTTTGGTAAGTACCTTTATTACCTTAGTGTTTGGAAATGATGTGTAGTCTTGGGTCTGTAGGGAATTGACAAAAATAGGGCTGGGATGATTTAGTAAAACCCTTGCTGTATAAGCATTAGAACCTGAGTTAGATGTCAGCACCAGCCGTAGATGATACCTCTGAGTTTGAGGATAGCCTAGGCTACAGAGCTAGTTCCAGGACAGCCAGGGCAACACAGAGAAATCCTGCCTCGAGAGAAAACAAAACAACAACAAACAAACAAAACAAACACCAGCACCCATGTAAAGAAAGAAACCAGTCATAGCCATGCATGCCTGTACCCCTAGCAGAGATAAGCAGACCCTGTGAGGGTGCTGTTTACTAGCCAGGCCAAAAAAGATAGTTTTAGGTTCAGTTAGAGAAGACCTTGTCTCAAGGAACTAAAGCAGAAAGCAACAGAAAACATGCCACTATTTCCTCTGGTTTATGAGTGTGTGTGTGTGTGTGTGTGTGTGTGTGTGTTTGTGTCTGTGTGTGTGTGTGTGTGTGTGTGTGTGTACACACATAAAAGCAACCCAGGCATCGAGGTTCACTCCTTTAATCTAAGCACTTGGGAGATGGAGACAAGAGGCTCAAGAGTAAGGCTAGCCTGAGCTACACCAAACCTTGTTTTGATAAAACAACAGCAGAAGCCTGAAAGCAATGCTCCTATATTTGTTTCCTTGAGCTGATGTGTCATATTTATACAAACTGGTTGCTTTAACACAAAGAAATTTATCCTCTTACAGCTTTAGAGACTTAACTTTAAGTCAAGGTATTATAGTAAGTCAAGGCATTAGCAGGACCATGTTTCCATAGGGAAGAGTCCTTCCTTGTCTCTTTCCAGCTTCTGGTATTTACTAATAATCCTCAGCTTAAAGCTGCATTACTCAAATACCTATTCTTGTCACTTAGCTGACCTTCTGTCTGTCCTTGTGTCTAGATGTCCTCTTAGGAGGACACCTATCATAATGGGTTTAGAGCTCCTGTTAATCCAGTATGATTTGACCTTGATTCATTCACAATGACCTTGTTTCCTAATAAGATCACATATCCAGATTCTGAGTGGACATGAACAGGGCTGCTGTTCAGTGCTAGAAAATTCCATCTATAACATGAGAAACCACAGGATATTTGCCACAGACAACAATTGTTATTATCCAGTTGGATGCTGGTATTGAAGCATAAGAAATCGTAGGGGGGAGGCAACAATTGTTTTAATAAAAAGTGCCAAAAATTGAAAAAGTAGTATTTTTCCATATTCAAGTCTTCCTCTGCCTCTTTGAGATTATAATATTTCTCTCCTTTCTTCCCTCCAAACTCTCCCATGTACCCTCCCTGATCTCCTTCAAATTCATGGCCTCTTTTTTTATTAATTGTTACTATATGCATTTATGTTTTTAGTTGTGAGCCTACACATTCTTAAATATAATCTGCTCAATCTGCTGACCATTTGTCGCTAGACAACCAATTGGTATGCTCTGTGAATGGGGAAAACCACCTCCTCCACTCCCAGCTTTCTTCTGTTGCCTGTAGTTCATTCGTTCTTGTGGACTTTCCCCCTTCCTTGACATGGCCATTGATGTCATCTTTATTGGATACCTCTACAAAAAAACATTCCTGCACCTAAAGTTAAGGAAACATTTTAGAAAGTTTGGAAATAACTGCAGAATCCAAAGGATCAGGAAGTTTGCTGTACAATTGTGTTTTCCTAATAATGTCAGAAGCACCAGGCAGTGGTGGCGCACACCTTTAATCCCAGCACTCAAGAGGCAGAGGCAGACAGATCTCTGTGAGTTCAAGACTAGCCTGGTCTACAAGAGCTAGTTCCAGGACAGCCTCCAAAGCCACAGAGAAACCCCGTCTCGAAAAACCAAATAATAATAATAATAATAATAATGTCAGAAGCTACACCCAAAAAGCCTCACCAATATATGTCTAGTAAGCTTATATTTGCTAATGGAATTTTTACACAGTTTTATTTTGTATTAAATCTAAGCCAGATGTGGTAGCATGTGGCTTGTAATTGCAGTACTCAGGGAAGCTGAGGCAGGAAAGTCCATTCTAGAGTTTGAGGTAACCCTGACTTACTTAAAAGTTATAGGCCAGCTGAGACTATGTAAGGAGACTTTGCCTCAGAAAAACAAAACAAAAGTACGCATGTATGTGTATATACATGCAATGAATTTTGTTAAATCTCATAATTCTTATTAAAAAGTACCTGCTAGTTAGGACCTACTTAGTAAAATTCTATTTGGAGCTACAAATAACAGTTAAGGCCATAGATTTTAATATAGTGTGATGTGTGGCAGACATGGCTTAGAACAACTATTAAGAAAAGCATCCTTTCTTTTTCAAGACTACCAAAGGAGCGTCGTCTTTCAAGATAACCCGTGGAATTGAAGCAATTGGTGGTAAATTAAGGTTTGTTAAATAGTAACAAGAAATAGCCAGGGCTGGAAAGATGGCTCAGGAGTTAAAAAGGTACATTGTCCTTGCAGAGAACCCCAGTTTGGTTTCCAGCACCCACATCAGACAGCTCACAACTACTCTAACTCCAGTTCCAAGGATCCAACACTTTCTGGCCACTACAGTCAGCTATATTCATGTGTACACACACCCTCACAGACACATACTTACACACATGATTAAAAATAAAGTCTTTGGGATGGAGGGAGCGGGGCATGGTAGCATATGTGTTTAATAACAGCACTTGGGAGGCAGAGGCAGATGGATCTCGGTAAGCTCCAGACTTACAGTAAGCCAGGACTATGCAGTCTTGTAGGGGGTGGGGGACACAGAAATATTCAATTATAGGGTGACTCCCCTTTGTTAACAAAGGGGCTGAAGATTTCTTAAACAGAAGGGAAAAGTTGATGAGTTGTCATAAAAAAATGTGAAACAGGGCTGTGCAAACAGTAGATATATGTGACTGATTGGGAGAAGATATTTATAGTGTACACAATATGTAAAATATTTCTGATTGGGAAAAGTAAAAACCCTAAATCAGGGAGAAAAGAGAAAAAAAACTAAAAGGAAAGGGGACAAAAGATAGATGAAGGCTGTTTCCCAAAGAGGAAACCAGGAGTAGTATCAGCAGTGCAGTGCTGTGATGCCATGCCTGTGTTGTTTTTTAAAGACTGGAAGCTGAAAGTCCAGTTCAAGGAAATGGGTACATAATGATAGCCATGATAGAACTATGAAGAACTGATAACCTGGGAATAGAAATATCTCTATGGTTAAGAATGCCTATTGCTTCTCCAGGAGACCTGTAAGACCAGCTCCAGCAGATCTCACCAGCATCATGCCTCCATAGGCACCTGCACATACATGGCACATGCACACATATAAATAAAATAATCTTTTTTGGAAAATAACTAATGTTTCACTTCCTAATTACACAACAGTTAGGAAGTGAAATAAATCTGTACATCTACATAAAGAGTTTAAAAACAAAATACTTAGGGGTATGGTTTCTAGAGTTAGGGAAAATAAGAATTGTTATTGAAAGGGTACAAGGAAGTCTTGAATATTTGCCCTTTTGTTTTTCATTGTAGCATATGAGGAATGTGAAACTTGCCACTTTAGATGTATATATAGTTCCATGGCATCAAGTGGCATTTGATAGTCGTTACCACTTTCCATCTCTGCAACTTCATTATTGTCCTCAGCTGAAACTCTGTCCAATAAACTGTGTCTTCCCTTTACCTTCATCCTTGCCCACCATCATATTTTCTCTGATTTTGACAGTCTTTTTTTTATTGGAATGTTAGCTTTACATTTTGCTGCCATTTTGTTCTTCATAGGAATAAATTATACAAAATATGTCCATTAGTAACTTACTTAATATAAGGTCCTCAAGGTTCATCCATTTTGTAGCATGTGTCAAAACTTGATTACTTTTTAAGATAGATTTATTTGCCACTTTTTAAAAAATACTTTAAAATTTTAGTTGAATAAATATTTTCACTGGTAGTACAAAGAATTATATGCTTTAACAAAGAATATACAAGAAAAGCTGTTTTCTGATTCAGATTATTTACTGTAATTTATTTTCAATTCAGTGTGGCAGCAACAAGGGAAAATATGGCCTACACTATAGAAGGCATGCGAAATGATATGTAAGTACTTGCATGTATTAGAACATATGCTTTTATGGGGATACTAGGGACAGATAGTACCATGCTACATATGTGTCATAATGAAACCTACTATTATGTCAACAACAACAACAACAAAAAAAAACGTTTAGGGACCAGAGAAATGGTTTAGTGGTTAAGAATGCATACTGCTCTTGCAGAGAACCTAAATTTGGTTCCTAACACCCACATCTGGAGACTCAAAACTGCTTGTAACTCCAGCTCCAAGGGATCCAATGCCCTTTTTTGGCCTCTACAGGTACCTGGACTCATATTTATAAACCTATACACAGAGGCATATGTGCATAATAAAACTTTAAAATCTAAAGAAAAAGGTTTATAATAAAAATAGAAATAGCATCTGCTTTTTAAGGAAATATCAAGCTTCTTGGTCTGTTTGTAGGGCCCTTAAGCAGTGGGATCAGGACCTCTCCTGGTGCCTGAACTGGCTTTTGGGAACCTATTACCCATGCTGGGTTGCCTTGCCCAGCCTTGATGCAGTGGGAGGAGCTTGGTCCTGCCTCACTTGATGTGCCATGCTTTGATGATGCCCATGGGAGACTTGCCCCTTTCTGAACGGAGACAAAGGAGGAGTAGATAGGGAGTGGTATAGATGGGAGGCAGTGGGAGAGAACAGGACCATGGGGGAGCAAACTGTGGTCAGTATGCAAAATAAATGAAAAAATTTAATTAATAAAAAAGAAAAAAATTCCAAGCATGTATTAAACAAGATGACCTAGACTCAGAAAGATCATATTCTCTCAGCAGGTCCTAGCTTTTAATGTTTAGTGGGGGGAGGGGAGAGGGTAGTTCATGATACTGGAAAGGGTGTTAAAGAAGTCAAGGAGGGGCTGGGCGTTGGTGGCACATGCCTTTAATCCCAGCACTTGGGAGGCAGAGGCAGGCGGATCTCTGTGAGTTTGAGGCCAGCCTAGTCTCCAGAGCGAGTGCTAGGATAGGTCCCAAAGCTACATAGAGAAACCCTGTCTCGAAAAACCAAAAAAAAAAGAAGAAGTAGTCAAGGAGGACAGTAAAATATGTGACATGAAGGGAGAAAGGAAGTGACAATAAAAATGTATTTTAAAATGCCTTGATGAAACCTAATACTTGTATACTAACTTATAAAATAAAACAAAGACTATGTTACTATTCAGTTGACTTTGTCACTGTGACCTTAGACTTTTATTCTAGAATATTATTCACAAAGCTAGTGTTGATTAGGCTCCTAGCCACAAATAAGATTACAGTTTAGTATCTTAACTTCGAATTTTGTGACTTCACATTTTGTTGTCCTGGAGATCACCTAGAGCAGTGGTTCTTAACCTGTGGGTCATGACCTCTTTGGAGGTTAAACAACCCTTTCACAGGGGTCACCTAAGACTGTTGGAAAATGCAGATATTTATTTACATTATGATTTGTAACAGTAGCGAAATTAAAGTTAAGAAGTAACAACAAAAATAATTTTATGGTTGGGGTCACCATAGCATTAAAGGGTTACAGCATTAGGAAGGTTGAGAACCACTGACCTAGAGTTTTGGAGCATGCTAAGTGAGCATTCAATCCTTGAGCTCCCACCCAAGGCCTTGATTTTTCAAAACAGTATTACTTCATAGCTCATGCTAGTCTAGAAGACAAAGTCCTCCAGGCGCCACCTGTCAGATTAAAGGTATGTGTCCCATCACATAACACCAGCATATAATTTTGACCTGTAGCTCTCTCTTCACTTTTTTCTATAGTGAAATTCTGATGGAGTTCCTGCTCAATGTCACCACAGCACCAGAATTTCGCCGTTGGGAAGTAGCTGCCCTTCAGTCTCAGCTAAAGATTGACAAAGCTGTTGCCTTTCAGAATTCACAGACTCGTGAGTACATTTGACAATTCCATTCCATTATTTTCAAGATACTGGTTTTGAGAAGATCCATTTGTGAAGAATATTCTGTATGGACATGAAAATATCTCCCAAAATGTGCTCCATTATTTAAGAGTCTTATTTGTTTTATTATTACTAAACATTTGTATTGTTTTCCACATTTGATGGTGAGCAAATTGATAGTAGAATCCTGTCTGCTCTCACTTTTCCCTCGTTGTGTTGTGATTTTGATTTGTTTAGAACAAACCCAACAGCAGTTTATTTTACTTCTACTGTTGTAATTTACTGTTACATGTTTCAGTAAAAATTTTAAGAAAAAACACACTCCATAATTCTTAAAATAACTTTTTCATATTGATATTTGTAATGCTTGACAGATATGGCTGGCAAAACCTGTAATCAAACACTGCTGGCTTTTAGAAATTATACAGCTTCTGGTAGGAGCCAAAATGAGCATGCAGACAAGAATAAGGACCAGCTGTAGTGGTTCTGGGTGGCACTGGGAACCAAATGCAGGTCTGTCGAGAAAGAACCTATCTGCAACTTAGTGAGAGGTGTGTATGGCTAATACTTCATGGTTATGCTTTGTGTCACAGAGGAATATGAACAAATGACAAAGTTGTAGAAAAGATGACTTACAGCTGTGTTGACACATGCCTTTAATCCCAGCACTCAGGAGTCCGAGGCAGGTGGATCTCTGAGTTCATGGCCAGCCTGGTTTACAGAGTGAGTTCCAGGACAGCTAGGAACACAGAGAGAGCCTGTCTCAAAAAAACAAAACAAAACAAAACAAAACAAAAAACGATGACTTATGTGCAGAGTGGCTGCTTCTCCACAGCAGAGTCCCAGCCCTCATCTTATTCTGACAAGATATGTCCTGTTACATCTCCTGGTGCTGCTCTCACCTCCACTTCTAGGATTACTAATTTAGTCCAACTTGCGGATTCCTTGCCAGTTGGTGATCCTTCTGCTTTGAAAACAAAGTGAACACCCTTTAAAAACAACTTGTGAGTTAGAGTCCAAACTCTTGCCTAGCCTTTAAAGCTTTCATCTGACTCCAACCCCCTTCTCTTAGTTTTTATTATGATTATTTGTATATAAAAATTGTACTTATTAGCGGGAACCATGTCTATTTTGATACTTGTCTAAATGTATAATGTTCAAATCAGATTAAACATTTTTTATTCCTTAACAGTGAAGACTTTGAAGAGCTTTCCTTCTTTCTAGCTATTGTTTCCTGCCCCTCCATCTTCCCTTTCTAGCACTGACTCCTGTAGGTGGACTTTTCTTTCCCAGCCACCAATTAACCACACAAAGGCTTAGATTAATTACAAATACTTGGTCAATAGCTCAGGCTTATTACTAACTAGCTCTTGCAACTTAAATTAATCCATTTCTGTTAAACTACATTCTACTATGTGGCTTTTACCTCTATCCCATTTGTGTCTCCAACTCACTCTGTGTCTAACTGGTGACTCCTCTGACCACTCTTCTCCTTCCCAGCATTCTCGATTTGGCTCTCCCACCTAATCTTATTTTGTGTAGCTATTTGGTCAGTCAGTTTGTTTATTAAACCAATCATACTGACATATATTCATACAATGTAAAGGAATATTCTACATGTCCCCCTTTTTGTCTAGTTAAAAAGGTTTTACTTTTTAACATAGTAGAATTATATATAACAAAAACAATTATCTAGTAAGAATTACAGTTAATATCTAGTCCATTTGTACTTGCAAAATTGAGAAAATATTCTATCTGTTTTGTCTTTGTGACTCTAAAGTTTTATGCTTATTTTATCTTTTGTAATAATGACTATCTAGTCTTCAACTCCACCAAAGACTCTAGAAGGGTGAAATGTTACCTAACAATAGGGACATCTGACAGTCACCCTAAATTCCTCTATAACATTGGGGCATCCATCTTTGGCCTACAGGTCTAATATCTGACAGACATTTCTCTGAAGCAAGAAATTTTGAAGGACTGCCCTACCCTGTCTTGGCAAAGATCAGCAGTCTCTTTTCTTTGTGTCCTGCTTGTACAGTTTGGACAGCATACTGTTAGCAGTCAAGACAAGGGCAGTTTTTTGCCCAAATGGCTGGATTTTGCCATAAGAAAGGCAGACTCCATATGGAGTTTCTTCAATGCCCATTATCTTCTCTAAGTAAATTGGTGCTGCCAGGAGCAGACCTATCTCACTGTCATGAAAACCTTAGGTTACTAGACATATTAAATATCATGTTCGATGGGTCTTTGAAGTATTTGAAGACCATCTATCCATCTAATATATCTGTGTATGACCTTGAAAGCATACCTAATATGACTAAGTTTGACTATTATAGATGACTATTAATTTGTGTTTCTTAATTATACATTACATTTTTTAATGAGTTGCTTAAACACAATACCTCAAACAAGAGTAGAAATACAAATACAGTATAACAAAATTAAATTTGAATCAATATAGCAAAATCCATACCAATGTGAAATATTTAAGACTAGTGGTTGGGTTTTTTTTTGTTTGTTTTTTGTTTGTTTGTTTAAAAGTAGATTCAGTGATTTGCCCTTTTATCCTATCATTTCTATATCCCCCCTTTTTTCTTTGCAAAATGAGATCCCTGAGATCTAATCTTCTTTTTCTTTTTTTTTTCTTTTTTTTCCTTTTTTTTTTTTTTTGACCATTATCAATAACAACTTGTAACCA